TATTAGAGATAAAAAGGGATATTTCATAATGATAAAAGATTCAATTTTCCCAAAAGATGTGACAGTTTTAAATTTGTGAGCACTCAATAACAAAGGCTCAGAATGGAAAATTTTCAATTTTTCTGTTCTTCTTGAATCAAAAAATTCAATTATAGCACTGAGTGGCAAGACAGACTAATTAAATTTTTTAAAAGTACTTAAAAGTATCAATAACAAAAGGTTATTTTTAAATATGTTATACTATTTTTTAAATATTTACTTTTCCTGACAGAAAATGTTTAATAAGAGAAATATGACTAATACATAAATATAACAAGAATTTTTTAAAAAGATTTTATTTATTTGTCAGACAGAGAGCTCGAGCACAAGCAGAGGGAGAAGCAGGCAGAAGAAGAAGCAGAGTTCCTGACAAACAAGGAGCCCAGTGCGGGAATCGATTCCAGGACCCTGGGATCATGACCTGAGCCAAAGGCAGATGCTTAACTGAGACTGAGCCACCCAGGTGTCCCTATAACAAGAATTTTTTTTTTTTTAAGATTTTATTTATTTCTTAGAGAGACAGAGACAGTGACAGAGATAGTGAGAGAGAGCACAGGTGGGGAGGGAGAGGGAGAAGGAGGCTTCCCGCCAAGCAGGGAGCCCGATGCGGGGCTCGATTCCAGGACCCCGGGATCATGATCTGAGCCAAAGGCAGACGCCCGACCGACTGAGCCACGCAGGCACCCCCCTATAACAAGAATTTTTAAAAAGGCACCCCAAAGCCCAGAGAAAAACTGTGATAGTAGGAAATATAAACAGATTGCTCTCAGTAATTTGAAAAAAAAAAAAAAAGAGTATGTAATATTTGAACAATGCAGTTAACAAATCTGTAAGGGACACGTATTAAATGCTACTACCTTCAGAATACATACGTCCTAAGTACACATACAATATTTCCACAATTAACCAGTTCAAAAAAGTAACTCAGGGATTTTTAAGGTCTCAGAATTACTCTGCTTATGTTCTTTGATGACAGTGAAAATTATACTAGAAATCAGTTTTTTTAAAGGTAACTAGAAAATCCCCAACTGTTCTTTAGTTAAGCAACTTATTTATAGGTCAAAGGATTAACAGTGAAAAATTAGAGCATACTTTTAACTGGTTGATAATGAACATAAATCAGTAAAGCTTATAGGTTGCCACTAAGGCCATTCTTAGAGGGAAATCCAAAGTCTTAACTGCATATATTAGAAAAGAAAGTCTAAAAATCAGTGATCTCTAAGAATTTGCAAAAGAGGTTAGAAAAAGGACAGTAAACTAACCCAAAATTATAAAACACCTGGGGAATCTGGACACATTGGGCAAGAGTCAGCAGGCATTGCAAACTGCAAGATTGGACACCCGGTCCCTAAGTACTTAAGATACTAAAACAAAAATAAGCTATACATAGGCAGTTCTTGCTATGTATGATAGTGCAGGACTTTAAAAATGACCATGCAAGCTGAAACTGTGGAAAGTGATCTTAATAATCAATGGATGAAAATTATGATTTTTCTGTGACCTTAAAAATTTTTGCAAAAATACTAGTAACTGTCTTGTTTCTAACTGTACTGTTGATTATAAGGGATGAGTTTTTTTTACAAAGAAATAAAACATTTTAATTCTCAATGTTTCTAATGTTTTTAGTATACTAAGTGAATATTAATTTTACTATTTTTTTTCATTTTATTTAAAATGACTCTAGGGGTTTACCTGAGTTGACTTATGATGAAAATACTGTATAATGGAAATGACGGAATATTATGTCATCATTAAAGTATTTATAGGAAAATATTTTATAATCTGGAAGAATGCGTATGTTTCAGTAATACAGTTTAAAAGGCAGGTTATAAAATATTAACAGTATGGTATATCTGTCTGTTTTCAACGGAGAGCAAAAATTCTGCTAGAAAATATATCACACCATTAATAATGGTTTTTCTCTGGGATTTGGCATGTTTTTTTTTAAAACTCTTATTATATTTTATGTTATAAAGTAAATATTTCTTCAAATACCAGAAATACTTAAACCCATTATTATATGGTCAGTTAATCTTCTACAAAAAAAGGTAAGAATATGCAATAGGAGGGGCGCCTAGGTGGCTCAGTCGTTAAGCGTCCACCTTCGGCTCAGGTCATGATCCCAGGGTCCTGGGATCGAGCCCCACATCGGGCTCCCTGCTCCGCCGGAAGCCTGCTTCTCCCTCCCACTCCCCCTGCTTGTGTTCCCTTTCTCACTGTGTCTCTTTCTGTCAAATAAATAAAATCTTTAAAAAAAATATATGCAATGGGAAAAAGTCTCTTCAACAAATGATATGGGGAAACTGGACAGCTACATGCCAAAGAATGAAACTGGACCATTTTCTTACACCAGGCACAAAAATAAATCCAAAATGGATGAAAGACCTAACTGAGACCTTAAACCATAAAAATCCTAGAAGAGAGCATAGGCAGAAATGTCTCTCACATCAGCTATAGCAACATTTTTTTTTTTTTAGATAGGTCTCCTGAGGCAAGGGAAACAAAAGCAAAAAATAAAACACTGGGACTACATCAAAATAAATAGCTTGTGCATAGCAAAGGAAACAGTCAACAAAACTAAAAGGCAACTTACAGAATGGAAGAAGATATTTGCAAATGACATACCTGCTAAACAGTATTCAAAATATATAAAGAATTTATATAACTCAACACCAAAAAAATAGTCTAATTTAAAATGGGCAGAAGACATGAACAGATATTTCTCCAAAGAAGACACAGATGCCCAACATCTGAAAAGAGGCTCAACATCACTCCTCATCGGGGAAATCAAATCAAAACCACAAAACTACAGTGGCTACAGTGGTGTAGCCACTGTAGAAAACAGTATGGAAGTTCCTCAAAAAAGTAAAAATAAAACTACCCTACAATCCAGTAATCAGACTACTGGGTATTTACCCATAGAATACAGAAACACTAATTTGAAAAGATATATGCAACCCTGTCTTTATTGTAACATTATTTACAATAGCCAAATTATGGAAGGAGCCCAAGCATCCATCAATAGATGAATGGATAAAGAAGTTTGTGTGGGGCGCCTGGGTGGCTCAGATGGTTAAGCATCTGCCTTTGGCTCAGGTCATGATCCCAGGGTCCTGGGATCGAGTCCTGCATTGGGCTCCCTGCTCCTTGGGAGCCTGCTTCTCCCTCTGCCTCTCTCTCTCTCTGTCTCTCATGAATAAATAAATAAAATCTTTAAAAAAAAAAAAAAGTTTGTGTGTGTGTTTGTATACATACATTCAATGGAATATTATTCAGCCATAAAAAAGAATGAACTCTTGCCATTTGCAATGACTTGGATGGAGTTAGAGTATAATGCTAAGTGAAATAAGTCAGAGAAATACAGATACCATACGATTTCACTCATGTGTGGGATTTAAGAAACAAAACAAATGAACAAAGTGGGGGAAGAAAAGGGAGACAAACCAAGAAACAGACCCTTAGCTAGAGAACAAACTGATGGTTACCAGAGGGGAGGTGGTTGGGGGGGATGGGTGAAATAGGTGATGGGGATTAAGGAGTGCATTTGTGATGAGAACTGGGTGAAGTATAGAATTGTTGAATTGCTGTATTATATGCCTGAAACTAATATAACACTGTATGTTAACTATATTGGAATTAAAATTAAAAACTTAATAAAAACAAAAAAATAAAAATACTAGAAATGTTTTAAAGTATGAACATCTGTGTTATTGATAAAAATTTTTAACTAGGGAATAATTAGCAACCTCTGTCCTTTCCTTAGGGAGTAATTAATTTTTTTGTTGTTTCTAAGGTTAATTACCTGTGAATTTCATGTGTTAGATGAACTTTGTTTTCAATAAATATATTCTAAAAATTGAAATTGAATTTTTCTAGTTTCAAAGGAGATTTTAAATACAGTAGGTAATTCTCTTTATTTTAAATATATAGATGCAGGTTCTTGAACTTCAACTACCTTCAACTATCTTCAACTACCTTGAGATGTGTTTATTATAAATAACATTTTCTGCTAATAATTTATACATTAAAGGTTTTCAGGTCTTTCTGATACTATATTTTTTTCCTTTTAGGTTTGTATCATTTTAAAGTAAAATAGTTAGTCTTTTCAGATGTACTTTCTAAAGCTTTCTTTTGGTAGCTGTTTTAAAATACAAAATATCTGTAATTTAATGTTAAGATTAATTTTGAATTTAAGGCTTTCAGAGTTATGGTCAAGCTTATGTAAAATGTGCTGAAAATTAAAGCCTCTAATCATCTTGCTTTCATAACCAGCAATTTTATTCAACTCTGTTTATTAACTGGATTAAGTAAGATGTTACCTGAGTTTAAGGGCGCCTGGGTGGCTCAGTTGGTTGAGCGACTGCCTTCGGCTCAGGTCATGATCCTGGAGTCCCGGGATCGAGTCCCACATCGGGCTCCCTGCTCAGCGGGGAGTCTGCTTCTCCCTCTGACCCTCTTCCCTCTCGTGCTCTCTGTCTCTCATTCTCTCTCTCAAATAAATAAAATCTTAAAAAAAAAAAGATGTTACCTGAATTTTGTGAAACACAATGAAGAAAATAATTCTATAATATTTTATATCCCATTTCCTTTTAATTGCCTAGATGAAACCACTGTTATATTTTTTTCCTGAATGGCCTGTTTCATAAATTAATAGGGTGTAATATCTGAATTTTACCTTGTTGAATAACTAAAATCTCCTTAGGACAAACTGATTTATGGTTGAATTAATTATGACAAATTTAATGCATTTGAAATTGTTAGATTTTTATTTTCATAGCACAGTATTTAATGGTGATTAACAATTTAATTTTTGAAGTCTACTTAAAAATTAGTTTTATGTAAGGAATTTTTTTTAAAGAATGTTTTTGGTGCTCCAATGTTTATTTAGTTTACCTTGAAACAGTGATTATTGTTGGTAAAATGAATTTATATTATTACTGTGTTAACTCTTTTTTCTGAAGGTTGCACAGCGAATTAAAAGATGCTGTTGAAAAGCAACTGGAGTCCTTTCCCTTTGGCACAGATGTGGGAAATGATATATATACAGATGATGAAACAGTTAGGAATCTACGAGAACAATTACAACTAGCCAATCAAGTGAGTGATGTAAATTTTTTTAAACTATATTCTGAATAAACAGAATTTTTAAAATCTGTGTTAATCATTATTTGTGAATGATAACAGAATAGCAAAATTAGTACTTATTGATTTCTACAATTTATAAGAACAGTTAACAGGTAACAAAACTTACAATATATACCGTCCCTGGTTGTTAAAAATATAGCTACCAAATGTATATTTTAATTGAATCATAAATCTTTTGACATTTTTATGTCATAAAAATATCTTAATGCCTGGAGTGCCTGTGTGGCTTGGTGGGTTGGGCATCTGACTCGATTTTGGCTCAGGTCATGATCGTGAGATTGAGCCCTGCATCTGGCTCCGTGCTCAGTGAAGTCTGCTTGAGAGTCTCTCTCTCCCTCTCCTGCCCCTCTCCCAGCTGGCTACATGCATGCATGCATGCACTTTCTCCAAAATAAATAAATAAATCTTTTAAAAAATATATTTTAATGCCCAAGAAAATTTTTAAAGAAAAAAATAATCATCCACTCACTTAAATTTACATTTTTCATTTTTCTGTGTTTTCTTCTGATTCGGTGTTTTCCTCAATTTTCAAAGATTATAGAATTATATTTTTCAAAAATTACACTTCTCTTCTCTGTACTACTTTTTCTCCTTTTTTCCTCCCTCATAGTAACTGAAATATTTGGGAAGCTATATTATATATATATATTATATATATATATCTCCATCCTGTTTTCAACACTGAAATTTGTGATTGTACATAAGGGAATTTTATTTTAATTTACAGTTTTATATCCTAGGCATCTCATATCTTATATGTATTTGAATCTCTGTTCTGCTTTCTAGCTTTGTGCCTCAGTTTCTTCATTTATAAATGGAAATTACAAATTCCTTATTATAATTTTGATTTTATAGTTATCTATGAAAAATCATTTTTTATACCCTAGAAATTTAGTTTTGGAATTCTTATATTTATGAAAGTGATAATTACCTGATTAAATTAAACTGGATTTAAACAGGTTATATTTACCATGATAAAGGAGCGTGTATTTAACACTGATTTTATTTTTTCATGTGTAAAGGGAAGGAATTTGAAAAAGTAATAGAGGAAAAAAAACGAGAAAGCATGCTCTTTCAAACTTTTCCAACTTTCAGACTCTAGTTTTAGCTCTGTTCAAAATATTATCAAAAAGGATTGATAAATGTTTATACAGAAATAAATGGAAATTAATTAAGACTTATGAAGGCTTTCTAACAGGCTATCAAAAGCTAGTGCACAATATGCAATTCTTCGTACTCTGGAAAAAGATTGTGATAGACCATATGTAAAAGAACCCTCTGTTATATACCTTAAATATATGCAATGATTATTTGTCAATTCTACCTCAATAAAACTGAAAAAAAACTTTTTTTTAAAAGGAAGTGGAATGAAAACTAGATAAGATTTGTAGTTTCAAAAAACAAAACAAAGAACCCTGTCTCTAAAAAGCATCTCTCTGCAGTACTTGTATTGCTATAATTTCCAATGTTAATTTTATTAAAACTTCAAAATTACTTATTAAACCAAATTTGTTCTCTCATTCCTTATCTTTTTCTCCTCCTGCCTTACCCTCTCTTTGCCTTTCTCCTACATCTTGCTCCACCTCATATTATTTCTCTGAAGATTGTCCTATTTTTTTTGCTACATTTTGGATCAGTCACTTCGTAGAAGAAATTGATGAGGTCCAACTCTGAGCAGTCAAAAGGAAAAAGCTGATTGGTTATAAACACAATTTCCCCCAAAATCTATAATTTACTTTGTTAATAAATATAAAATTTTAACTGAATGGGAGTTTAGGCTTCTTATGAAGTGTAAATAATAGAAAATGTTAATAACTCAATAGTATCAAAACAGTAATGTCAAATATTCTGCTTATTATTCATATATGTTTACGTATTTTGTTTTTAAGGTGTGATAAAACACATAAAATTATTTTGGTATCCATCACTAAATTGAAAGACCTTTGTCTTACTCATGAAAACTAGTTGAATCCAAACCGAAGAGACAAAAATTAGGTTAAATACAATTTATAGTAAAAAATAAAATAATTATTATGCTTTATCAAAGTAATAAGCATAAAGAAATTGACTATTCAGATATCTTCATTTATTTCATAAGTATTAATTAGATGTCTATTAGATATCAGGCACTGTGCTAATTGTTGAGGATACGATAGAGAGTGTTGGTTCCTGCTTTCGTGGAAAACAAGCTTTTGTTAAAAAAAAAAAAAACTCGTCAAACTTCTTGAGTTTGTTCTCTATTTGCTAGCTTTGTGATCTTGGGAAATGTCTTTTTACCTTACCTTCATTTATATATGGAGATTATAATAATTCTTATCTCATGGAGTTCTTATGGTAATTCAGAAATTCCCATAAAGCACATAATGCCTAACACACATGTAAATTAATAAATTTACGTATTATTTTTATCATCATCATTACTGAACAGCAAGATAAAGAATTAAAATTGAGTGCAAAAGGTGCTGGGTAAAGCAAATGTAATGGCCTTGGAAGCTGATAACACTAGTACAATATTGAGTACCTAACTTAATATTTTTAGTTTGGAGTATTTTGTTCTGCTATGATAGTGTGATTTGTAAGAATCTTTCTGGGGGCAGGTTGGCAATAAGAGCCTTAGAAACATTTATATCCTTTGACCAATTAATTAGACTAGGATATCACATAGATTCTAGGAATCTATGCTAAGAAACTGTATGTAAAAATTGATGAATAAATGTTCATTATACTATTATATATGATAATGAAAATTGGAAATAGTTTAAAAATCTAACAATATGGAATCACTTAAATTGGTTTTTCAAATGATGGGTTATACCATTTAAAAATTTTATATTAGTACATTGGTTCTCAGTTTTTTTGTGCATTATAATTTCCCAAGGGCTTTTTGAAATAGATTATTATTCTCCTTTCCCAAGGGGAATCTCAAATCTTGAATCTTCTGATTCAAGAAGTCTGGGCTCAATAATTTGTGTTTCTGACGCGTTCTGAGGTAATGCCTGATGGTTTAGTCCTCCTATAAGAACCACTGCTTTAGAGATTCTTGGTTTTCTATTTGTCCCGATGATTCTTACTATCAGGCAGGTTTGTAAAACTACAACCTTTTGAGGTTATGACGTGTCTTTCTGACCATTCTACTGAAAAGAAAATGTTCTTATGGAATTAAAATGAATTGTCCAAGATCATTCAGCCAAAAATCAGCAATTGAATCCAAGTCTTTTTTATTGTTATGTTAATCACCATATATTACATCATTAGTTTTTGGTGCAGTGTTCCATGATTCATTGTTTGTTCATAACACCCAGTGCTCCATGCAGAACGTGCCCTCCTCAATACCCATCACCAGGATAACCCATCCCCCTACCCCCCCTTATGGCTCCAGATTTGTTCGTCTACACATTTTAAAACTATGTAAGTTTTAGGCAAACCTAATTGATGATGTAGAAACCAGGATCATAGTTATTTTGGGGGAATAGTAGTATCTTGAAGAGAGGGGTATCGGGCTTCTAGGTGCTAGTAATAACATGCTCTTTCTTGAACTGTGTGCTGGTTACATAGATGCAATCGCTTTGTGAAAATTCATGATTTCTGTGTTTTCTGAATACATGTTATACTTCAGTAATAGTTTCCTTAAAACTTATGAACCTCTGTTTACTTTAAATGTATACTCATTATCTTCTTAAAACGCTTATCTTTTCACTACACCTTGTTACCTTCTTACTAAAACAGGGTGGCTTAGTTCTGACCTGGGATTTAAAAGTTTGGGCTTTTGGGGCACCTGGGTGGCGCAGTCAGTTGGGCATCCAACTCTTGGTTTCAGCTTGGGTCATGGTTTCAGGGTGGTGGGATTGAGCCCAGTGTCAAGCCCTACATCGGGCTCTGCACTGAGTGGGGAGTCTGCTTAAGATTATCTCTCCCTCTCCTGCTGCCCCTCCCCACCCCTCTCTCTCTCTCTCTGTCTCTCTCAAAAAAATAAATAAATAAATCTTTAAAAGTTTGGGATTTAGAAACAAAGAGGTAAATGTTTCCTCCTGACTCTGTCAACAACTTGCTGAGGAACCCTCAGCAAATGGCCAAAACCTGCTCCACTCTTCTTTTTAGACAATAAAAAGAGAATAATGCTCTTTACCTACTAGCTTAGCATTTCTTACCCTTTTTGGTTTCAGGACCCCTCTCCAGGATGCTTAAAAATTATTGCTGACCTCGAAGAATTCTCTTTTTGTGGATTATATATCTATCAGTATTTGTCATATTATAGATTAAAACTGAGAGATTTTTAAGAACAAATGGAAGCATAAGAACACATTCCAATACCCATCAGAGAGATGACATCACATCATATAAACTTTGGAAAACTTCAGTGTACACTCATGAGAAGATGAGCGTGAAAAAGGCAAATAATGTCTTCATATTATAATGAACAAAATTTTGACTTCAGGAGTCTCTATATCACACTTTGAGACTTGCTGTGTTGAAAGAATAGTTAATGATGTGAGAAAACTCTGATTATAAAATGCCAAGTGAAAATAATACGGTACAAATAGTACACTGTATGATTCCCAGTTTTGTTAAAAGAACAGAAATACAAACTTCTTTTCCAAAATCACATTTAAAAACATGAATACATCCAAAATTTATAAAGATGCTTATATCCAGACACTAGCAGTATTTACTGTCAGGTGGTAAAATTACAGGTAATTCTTGTTTTCTGTTTTGCTGTCTTTTCCCAGCTTTCTATAACATTTATTACTTTTACAATCTGAAAAAAATCTTGTACTTTATCAGGGACAATTATCTTTAGTAATTTCCAAGGCTTATATTTTCTTATGGAACAAAGATAGTGCTTTAAATCCATATCTCTGATTTAAGAGTTAAATTTTAGCTATGAAATCTGAATAAAAAGAAAATTTCAACATAAGGCATTTTCATCTTTAGGTTTATTCTCTGAAATGCTTTTTTTTGTTGTTTTATTTGATTTTGGTGTTTTTGTTGTTTGGGTTTTTTAGAGGGAAAGAGAGGGAGAGGAAGAGGGAGAGAGAGAGAATCTTGGGCAGGCATCATGCTCAGCACAGAGCCCAATGCGGGGCTCTGTCTTACATCCCTGAGATCATGGCCTGAGCCAAAATCAAAGGTCAGGTGCTTTATCAGCTGAGCTCCCCTTCTCTGAATTGTTATTAATACAAGTATATAGCATCAGAAATATTACAACTATACCATCTTTACACAAGTTCCATTTTTATTTTTGTGACTTTATATACAAGGATTCATTCTGTAAAAGAGTATGATTCATTTGTACTATGCAATAGCCTGCTAATAATTTAATGAATTCTTGATTCTTTTTGTTTTATAGGAAAAAACTCAGGCTGTGGAACTCTGGCAGACTGTTTCTCAGGAGCTGGACAGACTTCAGAGACTTTATCAGGAACATATGACTGAGGCCCAGATTCATGTAGTTGAAAGTCAAAAACAAAAGGTAATCTTGGATTTCATGGTTTTCTTGTATATCAGTTTTCATGTAAATCTTCATTCTTGAGAAACTCTGTTTTGAAGAGGAATGCTTAAGTGTCTACTGTGTTATGTATGTTAGATAGATCTTTGCTGGTTAGAAATTTCTTGGACAGTTAAAGCAATGCCTAGTATACATTAGGTTTTATAATGTGATTATCAATGAAAGCTATATTTAGTTCTAAGAAGCAGCTATATGATGATTCTGTATAAATGAACCCCCAAAGCTTCTATATTGGCCTATGACAGGAACTATTCATTAGATTATGGCCAGTGAAGAAACCTGCTCAAATATAATGACAACACCATGTGAAGTGAAAATGTTAACACTCTTAAAGTTACCTCTAAAATAGATGTCAAGCGGGGGCGCCTGGGTGGCTCAGCCATTAAGCGTCTGCCTTCAGCTCAGGTCATGGTCCCAGGATCCTGGGATTGAGCCCCATGTCGGTCTCCATGCTCAGCGGGAAGCCTGCTTCTCCCTCTCCCACTTCCCTTGCTTGTGTTGCCTCTCTCGCTCACCTTCTCTGTCAAATAAATAAAATCCTAAAAATAAAATAAAATAGATGTCAAGTGTATTTAGCATAAATTAATCAGAATAGAATTTTACAATAGGAAGAGATCTTATTGGTTATTAAGGCATTCTTTCTATTCAGAGCTGGAATGATTTTTGTATTCTTTCAAAGTGGACATCTAAGCTTTTGCTGTAAACCTCTGTTGACAAGAACTTATCATCTCAGAAGACGATCCATTCCATTGAAAAACCTGCCTCCTTGATCCTTCCATTGGTTCTTTTTCTGCTGTGAACATTGAAAACTATGGAGTATTCCAAATTCTGATTCCTTTTCTATGGATTTTGAGAAGGCAGACGTTTAAATACATTGGTTATCACTCCTTACTTCAATTCTCATTTATGGACTTCTCAAATTCCAGTTTATGAATGTTCCTATTACTGTCATCATAATTAGGAATTTCTACCTAAAGGAGTCATAATAATACTTACATGACACTTTGCAGTTTACAAAATGATTTTTCTATATATGCTCTGGTTTGAAAATAACCTATATGTAGTCAGGGCAAGACCTTTACCTCTGAGGGAGGGGAAATGGGGAGAATGGACAAAATGGGTGAAGGGGAGTGAGTAGGAAATATAGGCTTCCAGATATTGAATGATATAAGTCATGGGAATAAGAGGCATAATAATACAGGGAATATAGTCAATGATATTGTAATAGCATTGTATGGTGACAGATGGTAGCTACACTAGCAGTGAGTCATAGCGTAATGTATAGAGAAGTTGAATCACTATGTTGTACACTTAAAGCTAATGTAACATTGTATGTCAACTATACTCAAATTTAAAAATTTTTTTAAAAATACACATACATACACGGCATTTTATCAAAAAGAAAAGGCTTTTACCTGTGAGATCTAAGAAACTATTTCTAAAAAAATGTAAGTTCTTTGAGGCTGTTTCCCCATTTAGATCAATCAACTAAGTCCTGTGGTATTTTTTTCACCTTTATTGTACTTTAACTATGCAGTTAGGTTTTTTGTACAAGCCTTTACAAATAATACTTTGTCCTTATTTCTCCAGTTATGTCAGTCTTTAATTCTGTCATCCAACATATTAATAGCCCCTTCCAGCTTTGTGTCACCTGCACATACAGTGCTTAGTAGGATCATAACAGATAATCACAGTCTGAAACTTGGGCTTTCAAGCTATGAGAATTTTAAGAAGGGGAGAGAGAAACAATAATTTCTGTGCCAGGGTTTATATTGTAGTTTTTGAGTCAGTTTGAATGTAGTTTTTCAATATTGTGCAATCTCTCTCCAGCATGTCTATTTACTAATAGAGTGATTTCTAGAAATAATGGCCTTACATAAAACATAAATAGCCACATTTGTTTCTACATTGTCACCTTATTTAATTTTGTAGTCATTTAAAAAAAATTATCTTATTTCTTCAACTGTTAATTCACACAATAACAGAAGACAACTAAATTCATCTAGACTTAGGCATAATGATTTTAGACTTGATTTTAGGTTAATTTTACATATGGGTTGTAAACAGAATGCTATTTATACACACCTCTACCTTCCTACTGTAGGATCAATTGACCAATTTTCAACAATTGACCAGGCAACTTCATGTAACTAATGAGAACATAGAAATGGTAAGTGAAAATATCCATTTAGTGTACTTGTTGATATAAACAAGAAATTGTGACTTTAATATTTATTTATGCTAATAAAAATCAATAACAATAAAGCCCATGTATGTGAAATGAAAATAGGTAGGTGGTACTCTTTTCTCTTTATCTGTCTTTTCCTTTCACATTCGATAGCATGACAATGTTCACAATACTTACTAGAGATCTAAAGCTAACATTTTTCTGAAATATCACCTAATCTATTAGTAATCTTAGGGTCCTTGGTAGGATCTCGAGAGTAATCTAGACTGTGAGCTTCTCAAGAGTAGAACTCATGCTTTATTCTTAGTATTTCATTTAGTATGCTGGTAGGTATATAATAAGAATTGTGGAACACTTAAATGAATAGCCCAGTTTCTTAAAAGTAATAGGACATTAAGAATCATTTGTTAGTTGACTGGACATCAGTATTAATTGGTACATCTAAATTTCCCTTTAATTTTTTTCTAAAAGAAATGTAATAATTAGCCTTCCTAGTTCTGCTCTTTACCTTTTTTCTCCTCTCACTTTTCTTTTTTTCTTTTCTCTCCTTTTCTTTTCCTTTCTTTTTGGCATTTTATTTTACCTCATTGTTGAGTAATACAATTATGACATCCCAGGTAATTCCTCTCTTTCCTTTCTTCATTTTGCTTAGTAACTCTGCTAATTCTTGTTCGTACCTAATGAAAATGTCTTTGTTTAAGAGTGGAGTTGTGCCATCAAAAGTACGTTATCCAATTTTTTTCTATTTTTCCAAAATTTTCTCCTTTAACCATGTAAAAAATTATTAAATTTCACTTGTTACTTCTAATCACTTAAAATTTTTGATAATATACTTCTTAGACATTTTAAATAGTATTAAAGTACTCCAAAACAAAATGACTGATATCCATAATTAAATCATATTTCTGCATGAAATTAATAGCTTAACCTCATATCACAATTATTCGTTCTTTCAGTATATCTCTTAGAATTGCAGGGATTATATAATCCTTTGGTATCTTATACCATAGAGCCCCTACTTGGATATAAGCCACCCCAAATCATTCTGATGAAAGTCAGGGGAAATGAATATTTGAGTATTCATAGGAAAAAAATTAAAAATTTCTAAGGGACAAGAATTCACAGATTTTAGCCAAAACTAAGAATAGGAAGTGATGGGTACAATAAAAGTGATAAAGAAGTGACAGGATGGATGAAAGAGTCGTGTTGTAAAGAAAAAGAGACTATGCGGGTGGTTAAAATAAAGGAATATGGTAAGAGAAATTTTAAAACTTAAGCTTTTTTTTTTTTAAAGATTTTATCCATTTATTTGACAGAGAGAGAGACAGTGAGAGAGGGAGGACAAGCAGGTGGGGTGGGAGAAGCAGGCTTCCCGTGGAGCAGGGAGCCCAATGTGGGGCTCGATCCCAGGACCCTGGGATCATGACCTGAGCCGAAGGCAGACGTTTAATGACTGAGCCACCCAGGCGCCCCAAAATTTAAGCATTTTTTCAAGTACTTACTGGGTATCAAACAAGACTGCTGAATGTGAAGGGACATAGTTAAGTGATTATAAAGATCTTGTGCTTCTCAAAGAGCATTCAGAGAATAGTCGCAGGAGCAAGTTTGAGTCAAAATCAAACTTGAAGAAAAGTACTCATTAAAAAGTTTTCTGATTTCACGAATAAGCTGATTAAGTGAATAGGTCCCTATAGATGTACAATCATTTGATGAGTACACAGGAGTAAATATCCTTCATGACCAATGCACATTTGTAACCTACAGAAGGTAGAATCCCCTGATGTGAATGGTACATGAAAGTACAAGTTTATTTACTATGGCTATAGATACAATGGGATTTTACATTTCCTAGAGATTATCTTTACTGAAATCATATTCTTTTTTGAGATTTGTTCATCTCTATAAAATTATTCAAAAATATTTTCTTTTCTTTTTTTAATTTATTTTTTTTGATGTAGTGTTCCATGATTCATTGTTTGCATATAACACCCAGTGCTCCATTCAATATGTGCCCTCTTTAATACCCATCACCAGGCTAACCCATCTTCCCACCCCCCTTCCCTCTAGAACCCTCAGTTTGTTTCTTAGAGTCCATAGTCTGTCATGGTTCGTCTCCCCCTCTGATTTCTCCCCCTTCATTTTTCCCTGCCTACTATCTTCTTTTTTTTTTTTTTTTTTTAACATATAAGGTATTATTTGTTTCAGAGGTACAGGTCTGTGATATACCAGCCTGAACATGCCCGATCTCATCTGATGTCAAAAATATTTTCTGGGCGCCTGGGTGGCTCAGTCGTTAAGCGTCTGCCCTCGGCTCAGGTCATGATCCCAGGGTCCTGGGATCGAGTCCCACATCGGGCTCCCTCCTCGGCGGGAAGCCTGCTTCTCCCTCTCCCACTCCCCCTGCTTGTGTTCCTGCTCTCGCTGTCTCTGTCAAATAAATAAATAAAATCTTTAAAAAAATATATATTTTCTGATTGCATATTAAGTTCCTGTCACTGTTAAAGATTCTCTAGTTGCAAGAGAACTGTGCATCTATCCACAAACTCCTGTCCTACTTGGTAAGACAGGGATGATATATGAAGTAATCATGATCAGTGATTGAAAGGGATGCTTCCCTGGACCTTTCTGAATCTCCAAATTCTAGAATATTAATATAGCATATAATTTTCTTTGTAATGACAGAGAACACCATATTCAGATGCAGTTGTTGAGCTCTACTAGGCTTGCTAACAAGTTAGTTCCCAACACTAGCTTTTTTAAAATTCACAATTCCAATTTATACTTTCCCTAATCACTCTACATCATTTACCTTTAAGGTGCTCCCAAATGGTAAAAGACACAAGCATTAATTATGTTAGAGCCAAGACAGTGTGTATAATAAAACGTTAACAGTACGTTACAGACATTAAAGAATTCAGAGTTGTGAATCATTTTGGACTGAAGTCATTGATAGTTTCACAGGAGAATTTGAAACGATATTAAAGGTCATCTATTTCCTCAAATGATATAGGCATCCTTTTATTAAATGCTTTTCAGTTAGATGATCATTAGCCTCTGCTTTAACTATTACCTGTAAGAGATTTATCACTTCCTCAAAGAGTCTGTTCCTTTGAATTCTGATTATTAGCTAAAATCTGGGGCACCTGGGTGGCTCAGTTGGTTAATCGTCTGCCTTCCACTCAGGTCATGATTTCAGGGTCCTGGGACATAGCCATGCATCAGGCTCTCTGCTCAGCAGGGAGTCTGCTTCTCCCTCTGCCCCTTACCCCCACTCATGCTCTCTCTCTCTCATAAATAAAATCTTAAAAAAAAAAAAGAAAGCTAAAATCTTGTTAAATTTCCTCCCATTGATACATGGTTTTATCTTTTGGAGTAACAGAACAAGCTCACGTCTTCAAATCAACCCTTTAGTTTATTTGCGTGCAAGCATTATGTCTTTCCTGATTCATGCCCAGTGTTGCACCCAATTTTTTTTAAACTATTCTGGTATGGTATAATTTACCTGCCTCTCATTATTCTGGCCTTCTTTCCCTGCATGTGATAGTCGGTTTTTTAAATTGTGGTCTGTGAGGGGCGCCTGGGTGGCTCAGTCATTAAGCGTCTGTCTTCGGCTCAGGTCATGATCCCAGGGTTCTGGGATCGAGCCCCTCATCGGGCTCCCTGTTCGGTGGGAAGCCTGCTTCTCCCTCTCCCACTGCCCCTGCTTGTGTTCCCTCTCTCGCTGTCTCTCTCTGTGTCAAATAAATAAATGAAATATTTTTAATTAATTAATTAAATTGTGGTCTGTGAATTGAACACTAAATTCTGGTCTGCAATAGTCTGCTTCCCAAAATAAAGATAAAAATGCAGTCTTCAGGCTCTCTTTATGTTTCATTGGAGGCACTCATTCATTTATTCCTTAAAGGTATAAGTACTTAGAATGCATTAAATCATGTGCCAGTCACTGGAAATTCTGGGAGAAGGTAGTCTTCAAAGTATTGTAGCTATGAACTTTAAATTTACTGTTTGAATATAATGCAACATGCATTGTAAAAGTGCATATAAAGTTTTATCAAAGTGCAGAAAGGAAACAATTATTTCTGTCTTAAAGTGAATGGATGATGGCAGAATCAAATTACAATTCCAGAGGGAAATAAAATAGTATATTAAAAATATGAAGCCCTGGGGTGCCTGGGTGGCTCAGTTGGTTAAGCGACTGCCTTCGGCTCAGGTCATGATCCTGGAGTCCCGGGATCGAGTCCCACATCGGGCTCCCTGCTCAGCAGGGAGTCTGCTTCTCCCTCTGACCCTCTTCCCTCTCGTGCTCTGTATCTCTCATTCTCTCTCTCTCTCAAATAAATAAATATTTAAAAAAAAACATGAAGTCCATAAGATTGGGTAGAGTATGAGAGAAGCACATTGAAAACTGCTTCCGGGAGAGGCAGCTGGAAAGATGTATGCATGATCTGTTGGGATAGGAAAAAACTGAAATCAAGGCTGTCGATTAGGAGGTAACTATAGTCTAAATAACATTGCCCATAGGCATATAGATAAAGATGATAAGGATAAGGAATTTGTGCCTTCATGGTAAAATCATCACTTAGAGAAGAAAATCAATTCCCTTAGAAAAATTTTTTCTACACTTCAAAGTCTGCTTCAGTATCTTCTGTTAGGTTCCTTCTCAGGTTAACCCTGAGAAAAGTATTCTAATGCATGTCATTTATTTAGGAGATAATACCAAGGAGCAGCCAAAGGGTTTCTAACAATCATGCAAATTAATACCTTGGGTAACTGAAACTTAATCCTACCAGTGGATTCTGGAAGCCAGTGTAGAACAGGCGCAGACTTATTCCACCACGGGGCACGGGAGGACTTTGGGAAATTTACATACCAGTTCTCTTAAGTCATTGTTATCCAGCTCTTCCAGAGCAGGCTGGGGACATGAATTCTACAGCACCTGTCATCTTCTGTGCAGTTAGGTAAACAAATTCTGGCACTAACCATAGTTAGTCCAGACTCCACAAGTTACTAGCATAATCCCCAACAAGACTACCCGCACTAAGACACTAAGTGGGACAGGCTTGAATGGCCAAGGAAAACCATAAGACATCAAAAAGCAGATGCAGGTGGTTTGAAGTGAAGCAGGTGTCCACTGGAGTAGTAAAGTGAAGGCAAGGAAGGATTGCCAAGGTTTTATTTTACCGTCAAAAACTCTGATCATTATCATGACTCTGTTTTTTTCTACTTATATGCCCTACCGTTAATCCTTAAAGATGTAGTTTTAAGTGTTCTAATACTGAATGTTTCTATTTTTTTCTTGTGGCAGACTAACCAACACTTTCTGAAAACAGTAACTGAACAAAATGTGGAAATTGAGCGACTCCGAAAACAACTTAGGTATTTTCAAAAATGAATTTTGTTATTTTATTTAACAATTATTTTTCTTCAGAGTAAGTGATGATGCCATAATTTTTCCATGAGCATTTTTTTCTTTCCCTTTTAAGCCTCTGTCAGTAGCTTTCTATATGTGTGATCTGTTAGTACCAGAAAAGGCTGAAATCAAGATGGTTAGGAGGAGACAACTATATGTATGTGAAGGGATGTTCCATGAAGGTAAAACCAGTGCTTATGGAGGAAAATCAGTTGTCTTAGAAATATTTTTTCTGCACATATCTTTTATTCCCCAATAAGCAGACCCTGAGAAAACGGTGTCAAATCATGTAGTTTATTTAAATGTAATACCAGTAGAGGAGTGGGGAAGTGAGACAGGGAAAAAGACAAAGCCAATAGAGGGTTTTTAAAAATCTGGCAGGTTAATACTGTACATATTTATTGTGGCCCAGTGGTTTAATAATCATTGCATTGACTTCACAGGAAAAACTTTTTTACTTTTTGTTCCCCTTATTCATAATACCTAAAATTCACAAGTATAGTCATAATAGGGTTTTGCTCTATGATGCAGTCATTTAGAAATATCTTTAAATTGTAATATAAATCAACATTTTATAAAAAATGTAAGTTTCTGTTTGTTAAATGAACCTTGCTATTTATTTTTTGTACCATCCTATATTTTGCCCCACAAAATATTTTGCTTTTTTAAAAAAAGAATTTATTTTATTTAAATTAATTTAATTTAATTTTCAACAATTAAATTTTAATTTAATTTAAATAAATTTACTTTCTTTTCCCCTAGACATTTCTACTTGTGGGCTCTTATTTGGTCATCCTTATTTCTTTAGATGTTACTGATTTTACAGCTTAAAGTAGAATGACTTACTTAATTGCAAGATTTTATTCTTTTTTTCAAGATGGAAGTTGGTTTTTTTAATTATAAAAGTAATATAAGTCCATTATAGAAAACTCTAGGTAGTATAAAAGTATAACAAGTTGCAGTGCAGTTCTGGCACTAACCATAGTTAGTCCAGACTCCACAAGTTACTAGCATAATCCCCAACAAGACTACCCTCACTAAGACACAAGTTTAGGGATCCCCAGGCCACCCACACCCCTCACCAATTGGCTGTAAATGCAAGTGTTCCCACTAACTACCCAGGCTCAGTAATTCTCTAAAATGGCTCAGGGAACTCAGAAAAGCACTGTACTTATGATTAGTTTTATTTTAAAGGTCACAGATCAGAACCAGCCAAAAGAAGAAACCCATTGAGTGAGATCTAGGAAGGTCTCAAAATTTGAACTTTCATGTCCTCTGGACATGGAACCAGGGAGCATCACCCTCCTGGCATATCACTATGTTCATCAACTAGGAAGCTCAGCTAAGACTTGGTGTCCAGAGATTTTATTGGATTTTTATTATGTGCATATGATTTATGTTAAATGTAAATAAATAAATTTACTTTTTAATATTTTTGAAATGACTGCATCATAGAACAAAACTTTGACTATACTTCTGAAATTTAAGTACTTTGACTGATTGAATCATTGGCCACTTGATTGAACTCAATCTCCAGTCTCCCTCCCCTCCCTGGAGGTCAGGAAGTTGGGCCTGTATCACATGGCTCAAAGCTCCAACTTTCTAATTACATGGTTGCTCTTTCCAGCATGGCCCACCTCCCATTCTGAAACTATCTAGGGTCCTACCTTGAGTCACTTCATTAGCATAAACTCAGATGTGTCCCAACGACCTACTGTAAATAAAAAAGATACTGCTACTATGGGGGGAGAGGGGGTAGTGAAGGGCTTGCAGTTTTAAATAGAGTATTCAGAATATCTCACTGAGCAGTTGAGATTTGAGCAAAGACTTGAAGGATGTGAACAGATTATCCATACAATACAGGGAAAGTGTTCCAAGTGTAGAACTTGCCATTGCATAGTTGGAAACGTGCCTAAGGAACAGCAAAGAAGCTGGATGTCTCTGTGATCTATTGCTGAGTAGCAAACCATTCCAATACTTTGTGACTCAAAACAATAACCCATTTAGTTTATGATATGGGGGGGACAATAGAGCAGTTTTCCGGTCTGGGCTTACTGGGCTGTATCTACTGGACTTGCCTATGTGTCTCTAGTCAGATGGTTGGTCTGCTAACAGTTAGTGTAGTAGTTGGCAGTGGATGATAAACCTGTCTGGCAATTGGCAGTTTCTTCACCAGGACAACAAAGAAAATCTTACTTCTTCACTTGGTCATGCAGGGTTCCTGAAGATAGTAAGAGAGCAAATCCCAATGTACAAATACTTTTCAAGCCTCTCTTGGGTTATATTTGTTAATTACTCCTGGCAAAGCACCTCACCAGGTCAACCCAAATTCAAAGGATAGGGAAATAGATACCCCTCTTGATGGGAAGATTTTCAACATCATGTTACAAAGATGTGGATGTACAGTAGGAAGAATTTGGGGCCATTTTTTATACTCTCTCTCACTAGTATACAGAGTATACTGGAACAGAGTAAACAAGGAGAACAGTAAGAGATAAAGTCAGAAATGTTTTGGAGAGTGGAAGACAAGGTCATATGGGGCCTTATAGGCTGTTGTGAGGACAATGGTTTTTTGTTCGTTTTTTAGGAATGGTTTTTAATAGGAGATTGATATGATCTGACTTATATTTTAATCGATTGATCATTCTGACTGCCATATTGAAAATAGACTGTAATGAGGCAAAAATGGAAGCAAGGAGACCAGTGAGGAAGCTATTACAGTAACCCAGGCAAAAAATCACGTTGAGTAGGACTGTGGTGGTAACGGTGGGAGATGGTTAAGACATGGTCAGGTTCTGGATATTAATGTTTTATATGGTAGGTTCAAGAGGATTTACTGACAAATTGGATGGAGGTAACAGGGAGATTGAGTCATAAGAGTGACTTGATGGGTTTTTTTTCCACAGGCAACCGAAGAATGTACTGAGAAGTCTACGTATAGGTGGCCAGATTTGGTGGGGGAGGAGGCAGTTTGGGCCATATTGAGTTTGCAGTAACTACTGGAAATCCTCATGCTGATAACCATTAGCAAGCAGTTCAATAGAGATCTGGACTCAAGATATGACATGTTTGATGATCAACATAATAGTGTTTAGGGGCGCCTGGGTGGCTCAGTCGTTAAGCGTCTGCCTTCGGCTCAGATCATGATCCCAGGGTCCTGGGATCGAGCCCCACATCGGGCTCCCTGCTCGGCAGGAAGCCTGCTTCTCCCTCTCCCACTCCCCCTGCCTGTGTTCCCTCTTTTGCTGTGTCTCTCTCTGTCAAATAAATAAAATCTTAAAAAAAAAAAAAGAATAGTGTTTAAAGCCATGAGACTGGAATAGATAAGTACAGTTGACTCATGAACAACACAGGTTTGAACTTCATGGGTCCATCTATATGCAGATTTTTATCAATAAATATATACAGTATTATAAATGTATTTTCTCTTCCTTAGGAATTTCTTAACTTTTTTTTTCTCTAACTTACTTTATTATAAGAATACAGTATATAATATGTATAATTTAAAAAATATGGGTTAATCAACTATAAATGTTATCAGTAAGGCTTCTGGTCAATAGTACACTATTAGTAGTTAAGTTTTGGTGGTGTCAAAAGTTATATGCGGATTTTTTACTACATGGTGTGGGAGGTCGGTCCTCCTAACCCCCATGTTGTTCAATGGTCAACTTTTCTTGGATAGGAAGATTAAATTCCCTAAAGAGAATAAGTGTTGCCAGATCTTTAAAATTAATCTCAGTGTAATTTGTGTTAAAACTCCTGTAGTTTGTGTGTATATATGTGTCTGAGAGAGAGAAACTTGGTAATCTAATCCTAGTATCATTAAATAAGAAAGTGCCATTTATGAAGACCATTCTTTAGAAGAATAAAATGCAATGTTATTTGTAAGAGCATGAGTTTGACAAAATAGAACAGAAAAAAGAGTAAATAGAAATTTAGTATATGACAGAGGTGGCATTATAAATCAATAGGGAAATAATCATATGAGGGATGGTTGCTATCCATGCAAAAAAATCTGTAAAGTTTTGCTTTTCATATTTAAGTATTTATGTGGTTTTATGGATTAAGTATCTAAATATAAAAAGCAAAACTGTATAGATTTTTTTTTAAATATCGAACAATCTCTCTTGAACATTTTGCTAGGAAAGTGTTTCTTAATCAGAATTTAAATGCAGGCCAAAAAGGAAAAGATTGATATATTTGAATATGTTAAAATGTAAAACTTCTGTTTCAAAAATCAATATGTCAAAAGACAACCCATAGTCTGAGAAGACATTTGTAGTGCATATAATTTGACAGTGCATTAGTGTTGAGGATACATTAACTAAGCATCAATAATAAGAAGAAGTCCATAGAAAATTGGGCAAAGGATATGAACATTTCAAAAGTCATAACAATCAAGAAAATGCAAGTTAAAATAATGTGATACTATTTCTAAATACTAGTACTGAAATAATGTGGTAATTATGATACCAATTATCAGTATCAGAAATATGTGGAGTGTAATAACAAGTTACAAAAGGAAATTACAGTACAGATACAGTTGATATACATTTTAAATATTTTAAACAGTAGTGTATATTGGTAATGGATATATATATCAGTATACAGTAAAATAAAATATATATATTCTATGTGTGTATATATATTATAAAAGAATAAAATTTAAAAATTACTAGGACTGATATACCCTAACTTCAAGTTAGTGATTGTAGAAGTAGGGCATTGGAGACAGCCTAAGCGTCTATCACTGAGGAAATGGATAGGTAAAATGTGGTGTTTGCATCCTGTGATATACTGTGCATCATTTAGAAACATGTATTTACATGTAAAGGTGTAGTTACAGCAACATAGATAGATCTAAAAAACAAGGTTTATATTAAAGTAAAAAGAGATACGGATCTATAGCATAAAAACATGCATGCAGGGGCGGCTGGGTGGCTCAGTCGGTTAAGTGTCTGCCTTT